CATTCTATACATCCATTGGCATTTGGTTGCATAATAACCTTGCTGCTAAACAGGATATATGTAAATGGCCTGACAACAACGAGAAGTTAGCCATGGAACAGAGTCCAGTTTATATCCTAAGGAGATATAGTAAACCCTAACTACAGTACCCAAAGTAACTTTAATACATATTTACAGAACATGCCTCTAATATGAAACAACAAGGAAGGTGTCAAGAGATGGCTCATTGGTTAAGAGCACTGGCTACTCTTCCATAGGATCTGGGTTCAACTCTCAGCAACCACACAGCAGCTCACAACCATCTGTAACTCCAGTTCTGGGGATTTGACACCTGTTCTAGCTTCCTCTGGCATCAGGCATGCAAGTGATGCACAGAAATATATGCAGGCAAAACACCCACACACATAACATAAAAATAAATAAAATATTTTTTAAAAAGACAACAGGAAATTCAAGAAAGAGATTCTGGCCTTAAGAGCTCTCTGAAGTAGTAATTAGATTAGGCTTTTGTTCAATCCCCAGTCCTCTAGACCATCACAACTATTTAATCACATACGCACACACAGTATTTCTTACCCACTTTATCCAAAGAATGCATATTATAGCTTCTGAGTTCTGCTGGTCCAGAAAGTCTACCAGAATTAGAATAAAACCTATCTTGCCTTTGTAGAGCTGGATCAGAATACGGTTGGCCTAGAAAATAAATTTTTAGAATACCTTCATTAACATTGACATTAAGTATAGTTTACTTAGACATTAATGTTTAGACATTAGATTCAGACATTTCCTCTGCAGCCAAAAATTAAAAACAAAAACTGTGACTAACAATTTGAGAAAAGTTATACTAACTGCTTTAGTATTAAAAAACTGGCATACTTTGATGGGTTAGAATTTGAATGTTAAATATACAATTACTGTGTATATATATAACAAATTTACATGAAATTTGAACGTTTCAATTACTCATATATATAACAAATCTACACATGAAATGCTGAGACTAGACAACTTAGAATCTGTGAAAACAGAATTAGATTAAATTCAATTCACCTTCAAATTAATAACAGTACCTCAAGGAAAACACATCAACATGAAAATGCTAAGAAGACGCTCAGTGAGAAGGAAAAGAAGAGCAAGAAATTCAGTACAACAGCTAACTTGTCAGCACAGCAGAAAGTCACACAGACATCAACTGGGCTCAAATTTTCACTAGCTTCAGAATCTGGGTTTTAGCATTTACTCCATACTGAAGAAAGTTCTGACTTGACAAGCTCACAACTCAGATGAAAGACATCTATGTGCACATGTGTGCACACACACACACACCTTTGTATAAAAACTCTATAAACAAGGGCCTCTGTGGCTACTCTCCTTCAGTCACAAGGGTCATTTAGAATGGTAAGATGAGAACTACTAATTCCTTATGGAACATGGCATTCTGGAAGAAATTACAAGTAGTCTATTTCACTCTTGAGATACAATGGCAGACTTTACTAGGTACAATATGCATGTATCAACTCCAAAACTCTGGACATAGACAAAGAAGGTGAAATGTGTGGCTCTCATTATGTGTCCTAGTAGTTTTTTGGGTTTTTTTGTTTTGTTTTGTTTTGTTTTCTTCTTCTTCTTTTTTTTTTTTTATTATTTATACAGTATTCTGTCTGCATGTATGCCTGTGTGCCAGAAGAGGGCACCAGATCTCATTATAAATGGTTGTGAGCTACCATGTAGTTGCTGGGAATTGAACTCAGGACCACTGGAAGAACAGCCAGTATTCTTTTTTTTTTTTTTTTTCTTTCAGCCAGTATTCTTAACCTCTAAGCCATCTCTCCAGCCCATGTCTTAGTAGTTTTATGCCAACTTGACACAGCTACAGATAACTGAGAAGAGGGAACCTCTTATGAGAAAATGTCTCCATAAGATCAGGCTGAAGACAAGTCTGTAGGGCACTTTCTTAATTAGTGATTGACCTGTGAGGACCCATCCCATTGTGGGTGGGGCCACCCCTAGGATGTGGTCCTGGGTTCCATAAGAAAGCAGGCTACTCTTGTATACCAAAGACAAAAAGGCTGAGAAAGAAATTAGGGAAACAACACCCTTCACAATAGCCACTAATAACATAAAGTACCTTGGTGTGACTCTAACCAAGCAAGTGAAAGACCTGTTTGAGAAAAACTTCAAGTCTTTGAAGAAAGAAATTGAAGAAGATCTCAGAAGATGGAAAGATCTCCCGTGCTCATGGATTGGTAGGATTAACATTGTGAAAATGGCCATCCTGCCAAAAGCAATCTACAGATTCAATGCAATTCCCATCAAAATACCAACTCAATTCTTTACAGACCTTGAAAAAAAGATTCTCAGCTTCATATGGAGAAACAAAACACCCAGAATCTCCAAAACGATCCTGTACAACAACAGATCATCTAGAGGTATCTCCATTCCCGATCTCAAGCTGTACTACAGGGCAACAGTAATAAAAACTGCATGGTATTGGCATAGAAACAGAAAGGAGGATCAATGGAATCGCATAGAAGACCCAGAAATAAACCCACACACCTATGAATACTCAATATTTGACAAAGAAGCCAAATCCATTCAATGGAAAAAAGACAGCATCTTCAACAAATGGTGCTGGACCAACTGGATGTCTACATGCAGAAAAATGAAAATAGATCCATATTTATCACCCTGCACAAAACTAAAGTCCAAGTGGATCAAGGACCTCAACATAAAACCAGATACTCTAAATCAGTTGGAAAAAAAAAGTGGGAAACAGCCTAGAACTCATTGGCACAGGAGACAACTTCCTGAACAGAACACCAACAGCACAGGCTCTAAGAGCAACAATCAATAAATGGGACCTCATGAAACTGAAAAGCTTCTGTAAAGCAAAAGACACTGTCATCAAAACAAATAGACAGCCTACAGATTGGGAAAGAATCTTCACCAACCCTTTATCTGACAGAGGGCTAATATCCAGTATATATAAAGAACTAAAGAAGCAGAAAAACAACAAACCAAGTAATCCAATTAAAAAATGGGGAACAGAGCTAAACAGAGAATTCTTGAAAGAGGAACATCGAATGGCAGAGAAACACTTAAAGAAATGCTCAACCTCATTAGCCATTAGGAAATGCAAATCAAAACGACCCTGAGATTTCACCTTACACCCATCAGAATGGCCAAGATGAAAAACTCAAGTGATAGCACATGCTGGAGAGGTTGTGGAGAAAAGGGAACCCTCCTCCATTGCTGGTGGGAATGTAAACTGGTTCAATTACTGTGGAAGTCAATCTGGCGCTTTCTCAGACAACTAGGAGTAGTGCTACCTCAAGACCCAGCTATACCACTCCTAGGTATATACCCAAAATTTGCTCAAGTACACAACAAGGACATTTGTTCAACCATGTTCGTAGCAGCTTTATTTGTAATAGCCAGAACTTGGAAACAACCCAGATGTCCATCAACGGAGGAATGGATACAGAAATTGTGGTATTTTTACACAATGGAATACTACTCAGCAATCAAAAAGGAGGAAATCATGAAATTTGCAGGCAAGTGGTGGGATCTAGAAAAGATCATTCTGAGTGAAGTATCCCAGAAGGAGAAAGACAAACTTGGTATTTACTCGCTTATATAGACCTACAAGATATGATAAACATAAGGAAATCTACACACCTAAAGAAGATAATCAAGAAAGTGGACACAGGCGAAGGTGATTAATCCTCATTTAGAAAGACAAATGGGATGTGCATTGAACTTATGACAGGAGTCTACCACAAAAGGCATCTGAAAGACTCTACCTAGCAGTGTTTCAAAGCAGACACTAAGACTCATAACCAAACCCTCGGCAGAGTGCAGGGAATCATATGAAAGAAGGGAAGTTAGTATGATATGGAAAGGATAGGAG